TATATATATGTAACTATTTTAAATTATTAATAAAGATATAAGCAAGGCCTTACCTTAATACCAAAAAAAATAAAAAATAAAATAATTTCAATTTCTTATAATGATGCTAGATCATGTGATGATATTTATTTTTATTTGTCAAAGCAGCCTAAAACTGATAATTTAAAATTTTATTTACAATCTGAATTAAGCTGAGCAGAAACAAATATTTGGTATAAATAAAAACATGTAGACAAAAATAAATTAGCAAAATTCATGCAAGAAATTGGGCATATTACAAATATTGATGTTTTAGTTAAATTACTTTCTAACCATTCTAGATGTAAAACTGCTACTCAGTGTTTACAAGACAATGATATTCTTAAACAAGCAATTATAGAACATATAGATTATAAAAGTATTCAAAAAATTAGTACATATAAACAAGTTAACAAAGATCAGCAACTTTATATATTAAATACTTTAATAAATCTTACAAAAGGTTCATCTAATAATAATTTGGAATCTCAGGTTTCTTTTTAAGAAATTACTACTGACTTAAATAATATAGATATTTCCAAAGTATCTGTATTTAATAATTGTACTTTTTCAAATATTACTTTTAATATTCAAAAATAATATATTTATCTTATTACACAGTTCCTAATTGTTTGCTCATAACTTTTTTATCAATATTTTCACAACTTATATTCCCACAGTCAAAATTTCTATAGTTGATATTTTCTTGATTAATATTTTCATAACCAATATTTTTATAATTAGAGTTTTCATAATCAATTTTTTTATAATTCCTATGTGTTAACTCAAAAACTTACAAAAGATCAAAATGTTTTTTAAAATTCTCATGCGCAAATCCAAATCTCAAATAAAATAAAACTTTTTTTAGAAAATTCTTATATACTGGCCCAAGATACAAATTCAATAATATGCAAATTTAAATTTATTCATTATTATAGCAATGCATTATATATATAAAAATATGATAAATGGCCTCACCATTAATATTAAAAAAAAAAATAATAAAAATATGATAAATATATTACTTTTGAATATTAAAAGTAATATTCGAAAAAGTACAATTATTAAATACAGGTACTCTGAAAATGTCTATATTATTTAAGTTTGCAGTAATTTCTTAAAAAGGAACCTGAGATTCCAAATTATTGTTAGATAAACCTTTCATAAGATTTATTAAAGTATTCAATATATGAAGTTGCTAATTCTTATTAACTTGCTTATATGCATGAATTCCTTGAACACTTTTATAACCTATATGTTTTATAATTGCTTGTTTAGAAATATCATTGTCTTGTAAACACTGAGCAGCAGTTTTACATCCAGAATGATTAAAAAGTAATTCAACTGAAACATCAATATTTGTAATATGCCTAATTTCTTGTATAAATTTTGCTAATTTATTTTTGCTCACATGTTTTTTTTTATATCAAACATTTGTTTTTGACCAGTTTAATTCAAGTTGTAAATAAAATTTTGAATTATCAATTTCAGGCCACTTTGACAAATAAAAATAAATATTATCACATAGTCCAGTATCATCATGAAAAATTAAAATTATATATGCTTAACCTTTTTGAAATCTCTGCTGATTATTCTTTGAGGTATAACAAAAAAACTGTAAACCACTATTTCTATCAAATTTGAATTGGTTAATTTTAAGTTCATAATATTCTCCTTCATGTATTGCAAGAATGATTGATAGACAAAAAAAGATATGATATAAGAGATTATAAGATTATCACAGCTTATCATTGGATGATTCAATATTATTTGAACTTGAGAAGAATTAAGAGCAACCGAACCTGAAACTTCATCAAATCCATGTTCTTGAAGATCATACATCTTATCATGCAAAACATTATGCAAATCAGGAAACATATACTGATCATGTAAATTGATACATAAAATGGGTAAATTATGAAGAAGGTAGTGACTAAGTGCATCAACAGCCTGCTTTACAGAATTTGTTTTATATTTTTTTTTATTTTTTTTTTTCATTATAAAAATAAATTCAACAATTTGTTCTTCAAGCTGTTTAATATTATTAATAGTAGTTAACAGGATTAAATATTTTGAGTTAATGCAAAATTTCCCAAATCTCTTAATCTAATTCTTAGTTGCTAATTCAGTATTCTTATTTTTTACTTTTTCTCGATAATATGCAGCTTTAGTTTTAACTTTACTGTTATTAGATATTATAGATGTAAATGTAAATATAGCAGAATACTTTAGAGATCAAGTTTTCTCTAATATTAATCTTTTGCTTTTAAAACTTGAATTTGAAATATTCATAATGTTAAATTTAGGAAGTTTCATTTTTTTCTAATTATTCATCTTTTTTTAAAAAAAAATACAAAAATAAATATATGAAAAAGGATGTAATAATCACTATAAGAATATAAATTGTAAAATGTTGATAAAAGAAGGTTATAGGCATTAGGATCTGTGCAATAAACAGTTATTATACATATTTGTTATTGGTATCATAAAGCATTATGAGTTTGTTAATGATAAAATGTAAAATAACTATTACATATTATATTAACATGTTTAATTCAAACCTCAAAATTAAGTAGATTGTCTTCTAAATTTTATATATAGTATATATTATATATAAAAATTAAAGAATTATATACTATTAAACTTAAAATATATTTGTATAACAATAATAAATATTTAATTGTTTGTAACAATAATTTTTTACTTTATGTTATGAAAAAAGAAAACAATTATTCTCAAAGCCTATTTATTAAACTTTTTGATAAAAACAGAACATTTTATTGTAAGATTATTAAAAAAGAAATCTATTTACTTCCTAGTCAATATTATTATACAAAAAATTCTAAATATTAAATTCTTAATAATTATGTAATTAAAACACAACATGGTAAAGCAAAACATCTTGTAGAATGTTCTATTCAATATACAAACAAAAAACTACTATTTATTATTCAGTTTGAAGCTGATTTAAAAATACAAATTTAGTCTTTTAAAAGTATATCTAATACTATATGTTAATATCTTAAGGTACTATTTTTATTTTAAAAATATTTATTATTAAATATAAATATTTGATTTTATTTTTATTAATAGAAATTAAATAAAACAAAAGTTCAGACTAATACATGTATTAAAAAATATAATAAAAATTGATCAATAAAAATTTATAAAAATAATTCAAAAATATCTGGCTCTTTGTTATTTGGTTTAACTTTAACTAGCATTAAAAATGTATACAAAACTTTATTACTTGACTATAATTATCAAATCCATTCTTTTGAAAAACTTAGTATTTCAATACAATGTCATAAAATATTAAAAGTAGTTCAGCAAGTTTTAAATACAATTAAAAAAGAAAAAGAAAAATTTCATTATAATGATTATATAAATATTAAACAAATTCAAATTGAAATCGAAGAAGAGCAATTTAATATCAGTTTTGGAAAGTTTGATAATAAAAGTGAAAAAGAATGAAAAGAAGCAGTTATAAAATTATTAGATTATGATTAAATTACAAGAGAAGCATATCGATCGCTAGCATGAATTGAACATGATATTTCACATAAAAAAGCTATATTAAAATAAGACAAAAAATAAATTTAGAAATGAAAAAAAAATTTCACTATTACTTGTAAATATATTACAATCTACTATGTTTAAACCAATTACAGATACACCAAAAATTACAGTTATAAATATTATTACAAATATGTTAGAATCTATTGGAATGGAAAGACAACATCATATTACAGATGTCTTAAACTATACTATACTTTTTTATATTAGTAAAGGTATTTTAATTTTCAAAAAATTAACTTTATATTTTCAAATTTCTGAAGATAGACAAAATATAGAATGCAAGGTTAAACACATAATAGTAATAATAATATTATTAAATAATTTAGCAGAATTTTTTTTTTTTTTTTTAATCTTTGACTAGTCTTGCTAAGATCTTTCAGTGGTCCTTATATTTTTTAAACTAATGTTCTCAATATACTCCTGGATCTGAACCTCAACCTTCCTCAGTTCGTACTTTTAAACTTTCTAGAAGTGACCATCGCACTGATCCCTGCTAGTATTAGAAGTCTTTGCCAAGCTCTATCAAGAACTAGCTATTGTCATAAGTTCATATAGTATCTATTATTGTCAGACTTTTGGCTTTACATTATGTCTCATAACTTTGGTTATTCCTAATTGGATTCTAACTTATGTTTATCACTAGGTGGCTTCTCAATCGCAAGTTATTTGCCTTTTTTAGAAATAAGTCCATCCGATAACATCTCAGGTCTCTGATGCCATGATGTTGCAGTTCTCTATTTTAGAAATGCATCTTTACAATTGCTATTGCTAGAATTTGAACTGGCAACTTTGCAATTTGTGATCTCAGAGCATAACCACTATGCTGTTAACTTTAGAGGTCCTTCAGCAAAACTTCAAAAACCAAATAACTATTATATACTTATATTATATTCAGATTTAGAATTATATAAATTATTTAGAAATATGTTTGCTTTATTAATTTCAAATCTTTATTTGTTGCAAGAAAAAGGATTTCAACAGATCAATGATAACCAATAGCTAGTTAAATTATATTTTAACTCAAATTAGAAATTCTTAGCAACATGTCTTAGAATAAAAGCTGCAAATGCTAAACACTTTTGTCTATAGTGTGATTGCTCTAAAGAGAATATTAATAGTATAAATAAAAAATTACTAAGTTAATAAAAATGATTAAAATCAATTATTTTCAAATAAATAGATATTTAAAAGAACCTTTATTTTGTATAATATCTATTTGTAACTAGGTTTGCGATGAACTACATATTTTTTTGAAAATAATTGATCATTTATAAGAATTAATATTATCTGAACTTAGTCAAGAACAAGTTGATAAAATGACTTGGCAATTAAAAATTTTAAATGAAATGAAAAGAATCAATATAGCTTATTAGTTTTGGCATAAAAACAATAGCAATAATCTATCATATACTTCACTTATAGAGCCTGACAAATTAAATGTTTTAAAAAATTTTAATCTTACAACAATTTTTTAGTCTAAAAGTTAGATTACACAAATTCAAAATCTTTAGAATCTGTTTTATAAGTTATATAGTTTAATGCAAGACAGAAAAACTACAGATCAAATGTTTTATGAAAAAGCACAAAATTAGTTAATGTCTTTTCTAGCTCTATTTCAAAGTCAACTTAATAGAAATAACTTTGTTCAAGAAATATACTGTATACAAGACATAACATCTTATATTTATGTACTAGTAACTCATGTATCTGAATTTTTGAATATTTATTCTGATTTTGGATTAGTAGCATTCTTTTGCTCTGTAATCAAAAAAAAGAATCACTTACAAGTTTGTTAGTATTTTTAGAATACACTTAAAGATAGTGGTTATGAGAATTCATAAAAATTAGCAATTTTAGAAATTTTGAAACATAAAAATTAGCAACTTTAGTTTACTATTAATAATACTTCTAATTTTTTCAAGAAATCCAAAAAATATAGACTAGAACCTAAATAATTAACAGGCAAGAATTATAATAACTTCACAATTTATTTAATTTTAACTTTCTTAAGTTTACTTATCAATTACAAACAATTTATAGTTATCAGGTTTTACTTTTGCACTCTATTAGTTCAAAAAGTCACTACTTTATCTTATTTTCATTTTATCAGTTTTCTTATAAATTAAAATATTAAAGCAAATAAACAAATATTATTTTGCTATTACAAAAAATATTAATGCCATCTTATTGTTTTAAATGAATATTACCAATGCCTTTTTTAAGAGTTTACTATAGTATAACCTCAATATAATGAATCTTAATAAACTAAATATAGCATTATAATGAAGATTTTTTCTAACTAAAATTTTTTATTAATAAATTAACCTTGATATAATGAATTTAATTATAAAACATTGTTATAATGTATGACAAAATAATTTATTTTTTGTTCATAACAAAATTACCTTGTTATAATGAATACCTTTATATAATAAATTATTAAATGAAATAATGAAACATTTGTGTAATATTGTTAATTAGTATAATATAAAAAAAAGTTAAAATTTTCATGTTTTTTATTTAACAAGTGCAGTAATAGATACTGGTACAAATAAGTGACAAAACAATAATAGTAATAGTAAAGCTCAAAAGAAA